TGTCTGTCTCCACCTCTCCTCCATGTTCCCTTGCTCACTGACTCCTGCACCAATTCCAGCTGGGAAACAGCCTTTCCACCCCACTGTATGCTGGGAACTCTGCCCTGCTGGTTGTCTGTCTCCAATTCATACAATAGAAAGGTCGCAGGGGGTAAAGGACGGCGCAGGCAGGTGAGTGCACGCACCCCGGTGTGTACTGAGACTGCGTGCTATGCATTTGAGTTCTGGGTGCATCCATGCAGAGTGGTCCCTTGTGTATGCAGATTAAAAGTGATGTGTGTCCCCTGTCCTGGCGGGTACAGGTGTACCGCACCGTGACCGAGAGCAGGGAACTGGCAGCCTGGAGTCCCAGCTCTGCCATGAACCTACCATGGGATCTTTAAAGCAAGTCACTCCGGCACTGTGCCCGAGCTCCTTGTCTGTGAAATGGACACACTCCCTAGCATTAGTGTGAGGATTCAATGAGACGTGCGTGTGAGATGGGGTGCTGGCCTTAGTGCCTGGCAGGAGACAGCTCTTATTAAAAGAGGATCCTTATTAATATTGCTGCTGTTGTAATTGCCATGTCCAGATGTGTGACAAAGAATCAGGCTGTACGACCACAACATACACACTCACACACACACACTAAAGTCCCCAAGGGACTCCTCCCTGCCACCCCACACCAAGGGCCAGGTGGCGAGAGATAGAGCCAAACAGAACTTACCAAACACCTCATCAGCGGGTTCTCGGAGCTTTGAAGAAGCCATGGCTCAAGAGAGCTGGGGAGAACAAAGGGGCAGACAGAGAAAGACCATGGGTAAGAGGTTCAGGTTGGTGGAGGCCAGGGAGCCAGCAATGGCTACCTGCTCCTGGCCTCTGGCCCCTCCCCTCCCCTCCGAACTCTTCCTCAGGCCCCTGGAAGAGAAGTTATCTGAACGATAGCGATAGCCCAGACAGTGGCGGGTGGGGCAGGAGGCAGAGCAGAAGGCAGGGGCAGAAGCAGGTCCAAGGTGTAGACACAGGCTGCGTCCTGTGGCCATGTTGATTGGGCCGTGTGCCTTCCTCCACCCAGGTCACAGACCTTTCCCCCTTCACGCTCCTCGGGCCCTTTCCTTCGTTAGCTTTTCCCGGAAAAACTTTTAAATCATCATAGACTGGTCCAACAGAAAAATCTAAGGAGGAGGCTTGGGAGATTTCTTAAATCCCAATCCCACTCCATTTTAACAAATGAAGCAACAGGGAAGAATGGGCTTAAGATCACCATAAACAAAGTTAATGGGCAATATCAGGACCCAGGAACTCCAGGGTTCTTCCACCATCCCATCTACCTACCTCCCTACCTACTCACTCATCCAACCATCAATCCCTCCCT